ATATAACCGTAGCAGTCGTGTGTCATTACAGTGTTATAAAAAAGTTTCCGTGGCAAATGTTGGAATATTTTCACGAGTTACTGTAAAAAATAATGTCTCGATACAAACAAATTTCCATTTTTGTATTTTTATTTGCAATTGTGCATAATGTCATAGTAGAGTGAAACGATGGCACAAAGATATGCAATTGATGAACAATAAAATTTTAACGAAAGTTGTGTGTAAAATAGAAAGTACGAACATACATTAAAAAGAAATTCAGCTGTTTAGATAATTAGCGATTAAGTTTTACCGAGTTAGCAGTCGTGGTTATTAGTTTCACTAGCAAAGAAGTACATATACTGAGAAGCGAAACGTCAGGAATAATTTCACATTTTCTCTTTTGTTATGAATAACCATTGTTTCTCTATGCGACAAATACCTTGAACCTTTCTTTACTTTTTACTACGACATAACACAAGTCGTTCCGAAAGATAGTTCACGCTTAACTATATATAATTACTTTTCATTACTGTTTTTTGAAGTACGATAAACAGACAATTTAACAAGATTATTAGATATATGTGTCACGTAAAAAAAAAAAAAAACCGAAAGAACATAGAATTGAAAGTTAAATTTTAGTATTTATTAACCGAACTTGTTATCCCTAACGCGTTTTAAAAATATCAAATCTTCAAATAAAACCTATTACCGATATAAATGATAAAAAGTACTACATTTTGTAATATGTAACCAAAATTTCGTTTTACTGTCGATACTTTTGAGATATTCGGTTAATATGTGTTACCTCATCGTACATATAATCACAAACACGTTGTTTCGTGAGCTAGCCAAGAAAGAAACGCAGCATTCACGCGTGTAACTACATACATGGAAGAAATATTCGATTATTTAAACATGATTCGGTAGCTGTCCTTTAAGTAATAAATATCGAATTAAAAAATGGCGAAAAACGAACAATTAATTGGCCAGTATGATGCGCACTTTTTTCTCATTACGTCACTTATCATTGGCGGGCATCTCGTTGCGGTGAATCAGCGAACTAAAATTTGTTCTGTCTCTGCTTTATTATCCCCATCTCGTTCTATATGTTTGATGCATTGGCATAAAAAGCGATTCACTAGTCAAGTTCGCGGTTTATTGAGTGCAAACTATTTTTAACTTCAAAATACCACTACCAGTTTATGTTTCAATGAATCTGTTTTGTTTCGTTAAAACGAGGTATTAGGTCTTATTTCATACAGAGGATTATTCTCTTTGTTCCCTGCACAATCTATTATGGCCATGTTTAAAAATGATGATTTCGATAAGACTTCAATAATTTTTCTATTGTCATATGCAACTAAAAAATAGATGTTATAATACGTAGATAATTAACTGATTAGCAGATATCTTTTGTACTAATTTTTTCTGATAGCTGCCTCTAAAAATGCCGATTTGGAGCATCAGATAACGAACATAGGATAATTATGATTTGTCAACAATTACTATATCTGATAAATTAATAAAATTTATATAAATAATAAAAATCGTAATTCATCTTTGATAAGCAGACGTTCGTATTATTGTTTCGATATTTACTGATGGATATATTTTTATTGGTTAAATATTTAAAAGAAAGAAACACTCAACACATGCATTAATAAAAAAGTCAAATGTATCATTCTCGATAATAAGTACATATATGGTAAGTACACGATTTGTTTTACCCATTCCTTCTTCTGGAATGCAAGCGTGAATTCAGCCGAATTTCGATAGAATCCGTTTAGAAAACGCGGTATGTACTTTTTGAACGTGGAACAAATTTAGGTTAAGGCCTGATTATAACCGTTTGCGATTGACTGGATTTTCTGTTTCTTCGAGTAATAAATAAAATTCACTCAAGGTTTGTGTTCGTATAAACACGTCTTTTTACAGTGCACACAAGAGCAAAGCAAGAAAGAATCGAAAACCCATTGCGAATACTTTTAGCATCTGTGAATGCATAAATTCGCTTCACGGTCATAAGAGAATATCGAAGAACGAAGAAATTAACGTAGTTGGTTAATGATTATTCATATCACTGGCATTATGTAATCGTTCGCAATGAATGACTACAAACCTGTTCATTATGTGGGAGACGTGTTGTCAAAACGTGAGCATAACCTTAAAAAATGTGTTGACTCTCTCACCTTGATGATTTTATACTTTTTTTTGGTAGCTTGGTTCAGGTCCTCGTGCACTTTATCTAATAGCCATAGCAAGAATTCCTGAGCGTCGTGCTGCAAGTTCCCGCGATATTGACTTCCGTATTTGTCGACGACGCTCTTGAACGCCGTGCTCATCTCTGGATCGTATTGGCAGCTCCAAATGGCCTTCAACAGCAGGGCTAACTGTTCAGTGATCTCTCCCTTCGTCCCGTACTTTTTCGAGTTCAATTTATTTCTTCTAGAGAGATCGATCTTGTACTGATCCAGCACGAAATATTCCGCTAGTATGTCCGTATGCGACAAGCACTGCAATACAGCGTTCATGAAACACGTGTTACCGTGATTGCGTAAACCTATGACCCCTGGCACCTTATCAGGTGGTATATGCGCCGGTCTAGGTGGAGGTACCCTTATGTCTCCGGCACTGGACCCGAGATCGTCCCTGTGAGACGTTTTGTGATTCTGTGTGCCCACATTCGACATGTGCTGGACCATCTTGTTGATGAACTTTCTCCACGAAGGTCTTCGAAACACTTTTTTCATACCTGACCTATCCGGATAACTTTGACTGCCGTGCAATCGGCCTATATTCTGCTGCATACTTTCCATTTGCTGTTGATGTTGCTGCATATTGTGTCTGTCTTTGGTGCCCGCCGCACTGCCACCGTCTTTCGAATCGCGATTTTGTTTCGCACGTCGTCTTAACATCCTGCTTGCACTATGAAATGGATTTCTCGACAATGTAAACGTACACTTTAAACGCGAGACGGAATCCTGTGTTTTTAGCTTCGGTAATTTAACCTCTTCCACGCCCAGCTTACCCTCCGACACCGATTTCATCACCGCACTAGCATTCTCACCGTTCATCGCCGGCCACGGAAACACCGTTTAAGCTTTCGCTTGTCGTTCACATCACGCTTTTCGTTGATCGCTCAACCCACGCGTCTTTTACATGCCGTACGTCAAAAACTGCTCGCGGAAAAACATCATACACGTAACCCGCACTCGTATACTACGGCGGCCATTTGCCTTTATCACACAGGCTTCCACGATTTCATGATGCTTTGATCATAGACTACACGAAATGGATGATGGTAGATGTATTATGTTTGCGACTGAAGCGCTCCCTGACGAGAGTGACCAATACCATCGTTAGTCAAAGTGTTGGCATTGACTAAAGACATGATAGACGTGACATCGATAAGGTTTCGTGTATCACGCTCTGAAATACCGACCTCGAAAAAAATCATAGTGCTTTTCATGCCCTCTACAATTTATAACGTTGTGTCGCTACGATTGTAATTACTTATGGTAATTAACTATGTATGTATGTTATTCGTTTGAATGGCAAATAAAACATTAATCAACGGTCAAATAGATAAACTTCTGGTCATTGAATTCATTTATCGGAACATCTACTACTATTGCATGAATGGAAAATTGTAAGTACATAGTAAAGAAATAAGTACTTGTCGCACGGCAGGTTCAAATAAATGGAAGTCAACCGTACATTAAATACAAGTTATGGACATTGTTGTATAAGATAACGTAAGTAATTAAATTAATAATTGGACCAAAACAATACTTTAACGTAATCTTATATTAGAAGGTAAAACAGAGTTGTCTTTGTAAAAACATATTAGATTTATATATTTGACGGTTAATTGTTGAACAACGGTATATGCTTACAATTTAGCTAAGAAAATGTACTAAATTGTTCTAAAATATTATGGTGGGTCGTAAAAATCACAAATCTAGTGATAGAGTAATGAATTTCAATCTATTCCATGCTGAGATTTATTTAAGAATCTAATATGTACAACTTAATACGATGACTTACATCCTCTTCGTCGTCGATTTTCATAGAATGCTGATTTGCAAACTGCAAATATTTCCACTTTTGCTGACGCTCTTTCAGAAACGATACAGTCTCAAGTCATCGATCCATTTGCAAAACTCATATTCTTCGTATCAATTTTCACCATGATCGTTCATCGTTCTACAGATTATATATTTTACAGCGCGATACTTTTTTCCTTCGTATTTGTTTCCATTGCACGAATTAATTGTCGGCAATTTACTTCCATGAGTCTATCAAAAGATTGTTTTATCTGGAAATTCGCCATCTGACGAGGTCGTGTTTTCTTTGTGATTCAGGTATCGTATTATCCACATTTTTTAATATTACACATTTTATCTGCTCGTAAAATCTTATGTATTTATATATGTCATTTAATTAATAGTAATTAAATTCATAATAAGAAAGATATAAAACAAAATTTCATATTGGTATCAAGATGGCGACAAAAAGACATTTCGGATAATGGGGATGAAATGAAAAAATGAAATGAAAGAAAAGGAAACGATTTGGCCGGAATTTAGCTTTTCTCTCCTCAATATCAATAAAATGTTCGCGTCTAATTTTCATAATAAACGTGTAAACGATGGATGTCTTCGATCAGTCATGGAATTGGATGTCTATGTTTAACGATGTCTATGGTTATTGGAAAAGCCAAATAATTTCGCTTGTTCGGCTAAGATTGTTATCTATAACTTGAAACAAAATAACTAGCTAGTAAACAATATATTCTTACATTTTATATTTTATCTATATGTATTCTGACAATAGTTAACATTTAAAAAATGAATAAGACATTCATCGTTTAAAAAGCAAACATTTATTCAAACGCGTGACATACGGCAACTTGGAAAAAACTTTGTTTCGCGGTATTTCTTAACTACGTTTTATGTATAAAAATACTTTTTTTTAAGTTAGTTTCTCAAGTTAGTTAAGTAATTTAATTAATTTAATTAAATTAATTAATTTAATTAATGCGATCTTGAAGATGCCGTCGACTGTTTTAATTAATGTTCCATTATGAAACTTAGGAACTTCTGTCCTCGGTTATTCTGCAAGTAAAACATATACTGGATATCTTGAAGAAGAATCGACTGTGTCAATCATGTCAGGTAAATGAACGGAAGAAACGGAACAATCTTCTTTTCTAAGAAAAAGAGAAATTTCACATCTGCAATAATTTCGTTTTAGGGAACGGAAGAGGATAAAAAATCATCCATTGGTCAGACGTGTCGCATGTTTTCGGTACAGGTCTCACAATTTCTTAGAAGAATTCATAATTGTACATGACTGGTTCCAATACTCTCGGTTCGTTTAACACAGATTTAAAAGAAGCGTGAAACGAACGAAATACTTTAGTTCTTAACTTCGTACGTAGAATTATTATTATTATTATTATTATATTATCATTTTTATATTTTTACACTTTATGTTACAATTAATTTAGAAAGATTAATTTTATTTTGCAGCTGACATCGTACGATAAAGCAGAAATGGCGAAATGCAACGACTATTTGGCATGGTACCAAAGTGGACGCATCCAGCGGGCTTTTTTGTGACGTCAAGGATGGACTTTGTTGTTTCATACCCTCGGAAAGGGCCGGTGGAACGTTAAACTCCTTTTAAAAGTAGCTCATTTCTTAAATACGTTTTTCATGGCGAATCGACTTTTTGGAAAAGCAAATTGTGTTCTTTTATCTTCTGGTTGAAAGCTATTCCATGCTTGTCCAGTATGTCCGGAATTACCCTTGCACAAGCGACTATGCTGTAGATAGCCAGAAAAGTATGAAAAGAGAATTTATGATATTCGTGGTGCCCTTACACTAATTATTCTTTCGTGTCAGTGCCTCTTAAGTCGAGAGCCATATAAATTGAAAAATATTCGTTCTCATGAATTTAAATCTAATTTAAAAGTGAAAAGCAGATTATATAAAATAATCATTTGATTACACCTTCTGGTCTTAAATTAGAAGGAATTTCCCGTTTCTTATCGTAATAATAATTATTCAATCACACATCAATAATTTAATTTTTACTGAATAATATTTCCTAGCTTGAATAACTATTAATAATTTTTAAGAAATAAAATACATTTAATAAACGTTTTCAACCTGGTCAACATGTCGAGTAATTATGATAATGTGTGTTGTACTCAATGAACGGTAAACGAATAATTAGATTTAATGAGATGCTATGTGTGTACATATAGTCGGAATTCATTATATAACGCGCGCTAGAGCGATCAACGCCTGTCATCGCACTAGATCGATATGAGAGACATGTTGGACTCACAAAATTAAGCTAGTCGTCGGAAAATAATTGCCGAAAATTAATAACTATATAACAATCGTGCGAAACATCGACACTAGAAACTAATTTAAGTGGAACAATTTTCCCTAATCACATTAATATTATCCATTAGAATGGAATTGACGTAACTATTCGGGACTGTATTAATATCTCGGTTAACGATTTAATTCCATACTGTTCTAACGTGTTTATCTACTTTCTTATATACCTTTCACATTTTGCGTGACATCGAGATGAATTTATAAAGAAATTTCAATCACGACATTGTCAAGCTTAATTTCAGTGCATTCATATATGCAAGGGAAATTATTAACGATACTTTTGAACGTGACAAAACGACGAAAAATACAATGATATGTTTACATAGGTATTACCGTTTCTTTGCAGTAAGATTCGCTTCGTTTCGTTCGGCCATTTAGAAAACGGCCTGCGAAGCTTTTTATTTGACACTGGTCGATATTTGTCCAGCTTCGATGTTCCTCGAAGATTAAGTCACTTTGTACAGGATGCTCGAAGGAAAGCGTTTTATGACTAGATTAACCCCTTTCGATAGCATCGACAGTATATAGTCTTTCCTAAAATTTTCTATTCCCTTTCTCTCCCAAAGCTTCGATCAAATTGATAATACTTTTTGAACAACGTCAAGATATAACTGTGTCTAATATTCCGCTACAACTCAAACGCTATCGCTAACGATATTAGTTAAGATAATATAACGCGCAACCGTGGTGTTTCAGGAGCGTTGCTTCCGGCTTTTAGTACTATTCGCCGGCAGAACTCACTAGTGGATGGATAGCCACCGATGCTCCGGAACAGCTGACGGAATTCTCGATGTAATCTTGGAAGTTACTCTCGATCACCCACATTAGATCCTTATAACCAGGAATAACTCCCGTTGGTAGTCGACACTCTCCAGCTTGTTCGACTAAAAGAAAGTTGTCTTGGACGAAAGGAGTGTCGGTGTTCCACATGTAGATATTGGAATCACCTAAAAACACAATAAAAATACCATAAATAAGGTTTAGAAATGAAATCTAATTTAATTTAATTGAATTTCTTTACCCTTAATTCTGAAAAAGATGGCAGATCCATTGTCAGTGCCCAGAAGTACGATCTTGTTCTTCTTTCTGCCGATGTCTACTATGGATCCATTCGCGTTTCCTGTTCTCAGATTCACTGCTTTGACCGCGAACATTCTGCTGGAGCCTAGATACGTAAAATAGACGACCGATCCGCAGCTCTTCCTTCTAACGAGCGCCATGTATAGGACGTCGGGTTTGTCTGTGTTGGATGCCACTGCTGATGGAAGAACCACGCGATATCCGTTATCAGTCGTGACATTATAAACGATGATGGCACCGGTACCAGCGTCAGAAATGTACACATAGACTTGACCATCTTCTGCGTAGTCAATGACCATGTATTGGAGCTGCGAGGTATTGTCTACCAACGAGCTCAAGTCGATCACTTTTACAACCTGAAATCGATAATATTTCCTCTTTTTAGGATCATGGATTAACGATGATGCCATTTTCAAAGATTGTGGAAACCTTCCAACGATTCGATCCTTAATTGCTACCTTAAAGAGACGCTAACTGATGTTATAAACATCAATGTAATTTCGTTTATTAGGTAACGCATGGCTCGGTAGATGTCTCGGTAACTTTTAATTAAGTCGAGGCTTATAATCATATCAGGCACTTGTAGCTTCATATTCCAATCTCCCTTTAATTAACCAGAATTTTACTTTCTACTATGTTTAACTGCCATTCTATTCATTCGGAACGATCCTATCGTCAACCACGATTCTACTTTCCAACAAGTGTATATTTAACCCTAAACTTCATGTCCGTAATATCTCACAATAATCTGGAATTTTATCTCCAGACGACCTCAACAGACTAATTCTACTCTCGCACAATCTTTGACCTAGATCAACGATCAAACTACCACTTACCTTTCCGCTCTTGGCGTTGACTCCAACGACCTTCGGAGGACATCTACGTACAGGTTGCTCCAAAGTGTTGACGATTCCAACATCGAGAACCCACAAGATATCTTGTACATCCAGAACTATATCTACCGCACTCTGCAGTGCCTGGCAATTTCCTTCTTCCTGAATTGCCCAGCAGGGGAATGGGGCTACCTTTGGCTCGCAACTTTGCGATTTCATGGAAAGAACACCCAAAGTAAATGGTACTCCTGGTTTATAGCGTGGCAGAGCTAGGATCGCTTGGTCTTCGTATATTTGTGCTCTGGTAGCGATCACGTTTCTTGTGATGTAACGACCGCTTGTCTCGTAAATGTTCTTCGTACTTTGACATGGCCAATTTAAGCTAAGTCCTGAGAGGATCAAAGGTTTTGGCACCACTGGTTTACCGTTACTCGGCGGTACAATATTTGTTACGGTCGTTAGACAAAGGACGATGTAGATCAATCTTTTCATCCTATCGTTTCTCGTAGAAAATGATTTACGGGACTGTAAAAGGGAAGTGAAAAAAGAGAAAAGAATACGGGGAGTAAATATTAAAATTGTTCGAAACTCTGAGCAATTGTGTTCGGTAGAAACTTTATCCTGACTTTTCGTCATCGTTGTAGCTTCTTTTTATAAGAGACCGACCAAAACACTTGCACACGAAAATCTCAAATATTTAGAATCAGACTGCGGATGTTTCTGTATTTATGAAAATTTTCAAAGGTGTAAAAATGTACGAACGTAGAACGCGTAGGATGTACATAATACACAAAAAGTATAAAAAGTTATTTAAATTGCAGTGTATTTATTACAATATTTAATGAACGAAATATTTCCGATTAGGTTCCATTTGCTTAGTCGCGTTCAAGCAAAAATATAGATCTGCATAAATATTCGTAGCCTAATTATGACGCCGTAGAAACATGAAATGCTTAAATTCTTGAAAACGAAAATCAATTAATTGGATGAGATAAAGACTTACGCGATTTTACGATGTGAACAACACAAACTCTCGAATACGCGAATCTTATATCTGACATGCAGCTTATATACAAACTGTCCGTAGAACCCTATGCAGCAATTAATCATGTGCACTTTGTATATTTATAAAGTAGCGTGTTCTTCCGGTTGTCGCAATACTTCCGCCCGGAGCGAGACGGCACGAACTCTTGAGAGCAACAAGGAAGCGTATTCTCGAAGTTATTTACCAAACAGCGAGTAATGAACGAGGAAGCTTCGCTTGTAAGATGAACTTCCTTCCTTCGTATAAGAATTTTATAAATAAATTAATCATACTCCTGCATACACCAGTTTACACAAAATTACGTGACAAATATGTAATTCTGAAGTTGTTCAAGCTGTATTAAATAACACTGACACGATCATAGTATTAGTTAATGAATATACCGATGACTAATTTGGTCAATCATCGTGACAATTAATTGTAAAACGATTATTAAACATCCGATCATTTACGAATCTTCCGGGTTCGATATATAGGATAACAATGTTAAGGGATGTCAAAATGCAAAATATTTCTTCCTGTATTTCGCAACATGGCGAACACATTACCTCGTATATAACTGGCGTAATTTTAAAGACTCTTCAGTTTAGTCTCCATAAAGAATACTATGCACGTCGCAAGACAATTTATTTCTGTGTTTACGACGACCGCCATTGTGGTCATTCTTGCGATAACGAACGGTGGAAACGCGACTTTACCCGAAACCATAAAATGGACCGGTGGAAACTTCGAGTGGCCTTGTCCCACCACCAAGAACATGTTCAAAAGTAGTGGAAAATACATTTCGAAAAACGTAATCGCGACCAGGGTCGCGCTGTATACCAACAACGCCATTGTGGCCCTTCCCAGGTACAAGTCAAAGAATTGTAATTTCGATCCTTCAGACTCAGGAAACTGCTCGATGAATCGGCTAGAGTCTTTGGTAAGACTATTGGTATTACGTCTAATTCATTTCGAACAAACCGGTTTGCGATGTAGGTACAAGGCTGGTATTCCCGTGACATTGGCGAAGATCTCTCAGGATGTCCAAAGCTGCGAAGCAACCCTGGTCCCCTATCCTTGTTGGTCTCTTCAGGAGGAAGGAACTTGCACGGCACTACAGAACGTGGTAGACATTTATCTGGATCCTCAGAACATTCTCTGGGTTCTCGATACTGGAGTGGTGAACACTTTGGACGAACCTATGCGAAGGTGCCCGCCAAAAATCCTCGCTGTCAACGTCGTCACAGGCAAGGTAAGCGTCGTTTGCTAATCTATAATGTCTCTGTGTAATCCTATTAATACTTTCGCCTAGCGTAAACAAAGTAGCTACTTTTACGCTTGTCAGTCCAATAGGAGCGAATGGATTATAATTATTATTATCTGTCTAGTTAAGTGTCGATTGCATTACGTTATCACGGAGAACAGATTTGCATTCTTTAAAATAGAAGTTTCAAGTTTATTATCGTATGGCATAAATTATCGACTAGCTCGAGCAACGCTACGTCAAATCTCATATCGTAGTATTTATTAACGAGGTTGACTACTATCCTTCTAACTGTTTCACACTTTTTTAACCACTTTCCACTTCATTCCCTGATATTTGACAATATTCAGCTATCTTTCAAATCGTCTCCAAAAACTGGGAAATGTCGTTAAATCCTATAGTTACCTCGTTATTTCTTCCATCGTTTTTCTGGCAGTTAGTGAAGACCGTAGACCTGACTGGATTGACGAGTTCGGCGTCCCGATTGCAATACCTGGTGTCCGATTACAGTCAGGACGGCAGAGTGTTCGTCTATGCGTCAGACGCTGCTTCAAGAGCCATCCTCGTCTACGATGTCACTCTAGGTCGAGGCTACCGCGTCGTTTTGCCCCAAGCCGTCGCCATGGGCACAACCCGAAGAGACGTTTTGTATCTTGCGCTTCTCCGACGTTCAGACGGGAGCACATGTTTGATCTTCACTTATTTAAGCAGTAGCCGTTTGTTCTCCATCAGAACGGAACATCTACGCAGTGGTTCTGCGAATGGCAAGATCCACGATCTTGGTATGAAACCGAAGAAGATGATCTTCTTGGGTACGGACAATGGCAGCGCCCTTTTCTTTCGGTACGAAGGCGAACCGGATGTTTACCGATGGGACGCGGTCAATCCATTTGTTTCACGATGTTTCGACAAGGTGTACACCAGTGCCGAATGTTCCCTTGTTACTCATGTGGTTGCGGATTACGCGAGAGGGAGGATGCGAGTGCTTGAATCGAACTTTCCTGATTATATGCAAGGCTCGGTTGGATGCGGTGCCACACAGGCGTTGAATGTTATGTGATGTTGAGAATCATAGGGTAGGTTTAGCATTAAATAAATTAAATTCTAATGAAATATATTATTTTTCTATTTATCGTATCTTTTATTCTTAGCCTTGCCTCGTCTTGAAATATTTAACGTTTAATAGTTCTGCAAAGATCGACTGAAATGTTCGTAGATTTTCGATGATCTTACATTTTTATGAAAAGGAAAGAGAAACAAAGGAATTAAAAATATTTATGCATACGGTTCGACTGTCGATTCAAATCGATACCGTAAAACTACACCAGCAGTCATTTCTACGGCCGTTTGCGTCAAACAGGGCTATAAATCAAGATGCAAATCATTTCGTGAGGCTGACTATGTATCCCGTAGCTGTAATGCAACGGTACCAAGGAACTTCGTCGGAAAAAACGGAACCTTTCTCTCTTACAATCACTCCTTCGTTGCTGCGACCATGATTAGTCGGCGTTAGTCGACAACAAGAAACGTTTCCTCTAAATCGAACGGGCAATAATTCACTGGAACGTTGAAAAGATAAAATAGAACGCGTATCCAACTTAATATTTTTTCCAGCTGTCACATTTGGCCAACAGTTGTGGTTATCAGGTCACGCAACTGCGCTAAGATTTGCACAGTTACATTTATAGGTAAACGAGACCATTGTATAATAACAGTTGGTCGCGAAATGTTTTTAAATTATGATATTTCAAAATATTATGCACATACGTATTGGATTGTCTCAAAAGTGTTTTACGTTTTAAAAGGAAATAATAGACGCACGATATGTTTTATATTATTTTATTGAACTATGTATATAAAATGATAGATACGATAAATAATATAAAACAAAAAATGTCCTGCATCTATTGTTTCTTTGTAAAATGAAAGAAACTTTTGAGACAACCTGACACTTACGACTATCTTTAAATTCCCTTACAATCAATACGATTGCATAAATGTTTTAATAAAAAGAATTGGAAAGCGCGTGTCACAACGTGTTATCACGTTTCTGCAAAGAACGAAACTCTTTCTTCAAAGCAGAAACGCGGCTTTCCATGAAAATCGATATACGGTATTGAATTTGTTTCCTGCATTGCAACTACCCGAGTGAAAGCTCGTTCCATATATTGTTACGCATAAAATAATCCATATCTCTTTATGCCTTTCGTATTAATTACCATTTACAACAGCTAATTCGCATAAATCCAATAAAACCAGCCTAGAAAGTATTTTTTCAGCGTTGAATTTATTCGTTGAAGCGTTGAATATCTCGGCCTTGTATCGTTTCTACAAATTTTACTATTTGGCATTTTAATTATTTTTCTATTTCTAGGTTTCCAAAGTTTTCAGTTCTAATCATTGTCGACACAATAAATTAAATAAAAATTCAACGATATCGTTTATGCTAATTGGGTGGTATAGTGTGCACGATTACCATCAGAATTTCTTATTATGACACGCGTACAGGTCTGCTGGGATCACGACTTCGTTTAATTAGCCTCTTGCGACGTGTATGAGCGTGCACGCTGTCGAAACGTGTTCCAACTATGGTTGAGAAAAAAATGATAGTTACTGGAGCTACTACTCTACGAAGACACGTAATTGTAGTTCACTTGACGAGGTGATTTGCTACTCACCATGCTACGTAATTTTCATGCGGATTTTTCTATGAATTTCCACGTCAACAATTATTAAGCGTATTTATTTACAGATTATACAATTTTATAATGCAGTAAATTATTGCGTTGACAACTATGTGATTGAGGATTTTGTCATTATCACCTAATCACTTAGTTGCCGGCTCAATAGATAGTAACATAAATGAAATAAGTATTTTGAAATAACAAATGAATACTACGAGATACTTAAGTTTCTTCAAACGACATCAAAAATTCCTAGAAACGTAATTTGATGACTGAAACTATCAATTAATACTGATTGCTGGAAAGTTAAGTGGAAATCGCGAATAAATATTACAAATTCCTTTCACGTAGGTAACAGCGTTCGAGTTCTTCTAAATTTGGTATCTTTGATTCGTTCCTCAATAGGATAGCTTGTTGTGGTTGCTAGAAATCAAAAAATAGAAAAAAGTTAGAATCGTGTGGTGTTCCACTTTCATCGTTTCTTCGGAACAGGTCCAGCGCGATTTAAACCTGTCGTTCACCGTGTCTTGTCCAATACGTCGCGTGTCAATAGCAGTCTGTATTTTACATTTAAGTAATTCTATCGTACGTTTGGTTTCAGATTTACTAAAATTTCAAGTTTCCACATCTCAATTTAAAACTTTAACTTTCTAAATTTAAAAGCTTAAAAGTTGAAACATTTGAGAGCCTACGTTAAAGAGTTTAGAAATTCAAAAATTGAAAAATCCAAGTCTAGAAATTCAATAATTTGAAAACTTAAGTTTAAATATAAATTTAAATACAAATACCTTCGAAAATAAGGAACAAAAGATTGCGTGCAAGATCGCGATCGAGTTTCGATTTTTGACCATACGATTATCCGAGCGTGCAATGTAACCATTTTGTACCACCGATCGAATCGTTTCGAACCGACCGCATTAAGGGTGATATTTTGAAATCTTGATCGTGACAGATTGACACGCGCTTACTAAACGGACGATCATGTTTTTGTAAATTGAAACTTCAACACAGATCAGAAGGTGTGTGTATAATAATATGGAACAATTTTTCAAGCGATAGTCAAGAAGCGTGAAATTTTTCGCAACAAATCGACCGTAACATTTTTTCCCTCTGTTCTTTTCTTTCTTATCTGCTGAATGCCGGCGTTAATTAGATTTGATAGGATCCAACGATTACGCGGCAATTACTCAAACCTCGTTACTCGAATTATACGATGATTAGCACTGTGTGATGATATAACGAATTAACAGAGTATCATTCTACTCGTACTAATCTGATGGATGATCGAGTTTTTATTTCCCTTTCTGCGCTTTTTGCAACGTCCCAACCTTTAAATTCCTTACAAATTTTGCCAAAAATTATCGATATTAAAAAAAAATATGTATCTATCTGCGATCTAATTTTTCTAGCAACAGAAGTTCTTTTACGTAAAAAATAAACGACGAAAGTCTAAAACGGATAATTCAAATTATATATTTATTTTATTTATCGTTATTACTTTTTACCGTTAGCTCCTTTCCATTCTCTTAATTTGCAAAACCTTACAAACACCGTCTTCAAAAAGAGACTTCGTTCTAAGCATGAGATATCTGTCGGAGAATAAAAAAATTCCTTTATGGGAAAAAATTTTCTTCCAAAAATTCACCGACGCAAGTAATTGAGGCGTGGCACGACTCAATAAATAAGCGAAATTAAATCAGTGGAATTCAGCAAAAAATCTCGTAACTCAGAATGTGTGCGACAATGGTGTACATGGTCGAGCAACCGCATTCGAACTTTCCAAGACGGACACGTATGCGACGCTGTTCCGTATTGCAGAAGAATGAATTCGGTATGGAAACACACTGAGAGCCGGGTTCATTGAATCGCTTGACGCAATTCCTACAAAACAACCTTGCAGCACCCGTACTTTTGCGCGGGCAGACCGTTGTGTCTTTGTGAATAATCTGAACGTGAAACGACTTATGCAACGAAAGTGTCCGAGTAGCGAGACGTTGTCCAGATTTCTCGCGGCAGATAATTGTTTTCCTCGCCAGTTTCCTGGTGATAAGGTGAGAATTATCGGTTTCGAGCGGTTTTAGTCGACGATACCTTGGATTCTTGAAGAATCATAAAACGAAACAACAATTCAAAATTTGATAATAATAGATTGGACTATTTGTTTCGCCAATGATTTATTATTCGGAGGAAAATTTTAGGTATCGTGGTTGTCTAAAATAATTAG